TAAAGTAGCCAGACGTAATTCAATCGTGAGTGACCATTTGCTTTTGATTAAGTACCTGACTTTAAAGATGATGCCTTGCAAAATTTTAAACTGCACGTATACATACATATGTATGTATGTATAGTTGAGCTGAAGTAGCAGACTTTTAATGTTATATATCCAAATAGTTAAATGTTTATACAACCTATTGTACAACGGCGAAGTTCATGTGATCGAATTATGATCGACTCAGAGGTTTTTCCAGGATTATTAAATTTGATAGTCTCTTTGTCCAAATTACTTAGTCAGAATTGGCGAATAAGACTGCACAAGACTTCATTCATTCGAAAGACAATACTCTTCAGTTATAAGGGTTAATTAAAATCGTTATAAGATCGATAAAAAGAACTAATTCATTACAGACTCTAAACTGTAGAATGGAAAAACAAAAGGCGAAATAGGAGAAGTCTAACGATAATATAGAGAAAATACTGAATCTAGGAAAAGACTGAAGTTTTACAGTTCGAGGCATGTTAGCTTAGGGAACCGACACCAACTTGGCGATTTTTTAATCTAGTTATATAAAGGTGTTACCACTATCTATAGTTTTATGGAAAAGCTAAAAACTGTAGAAGTCTTCACACTCCTCGAAGTAATTTCTTGAGTCCTTTCACTAGGGTTCTGTATAGAGATCCACATTATGTGATACAAAGGGAATCTGTGCACTGTGCTGATTATGAGCTGAAGTCCCTCCATGATTTATGTAGTTACTGCGATTGAAACCTAAATCGCAGAAAGGTAATTTTAGCTAAAAGATGTGAAATGTACTTTCTACTTCGCGATAAAAGTGGTTTGTACTTTGGAATCCAAATTACTTCTGTAGAAGAGCTGAGGAGGCTCTGAATACGACCATGAGCTGGGCTCAACAGAGGGGCCTCAATATTAACCCGTCAAAAACGGAAATCTGTCTTTTCAAAAGAAAGACAAAATGTTCTACGTATACTGAACCTTTCTTCATGGGCAAGAAGATACCAGTGACAGACAAAGTTAAGTACTTAGGTGTAATCCTTGATAGGAAATTAAGGTGAAGATACCACATAAAGGATAGGATCAACAAGGCACATCGGTGCTGGGCGATATGTAGTAGAACTATAGGCCTGAAATAGGGTCTTAGTACTACTATGACAAATTGGCTTTATAAAAGTGTAATTAGACCAATTCTAGCTTATGCTTCAATAATCTGGTGGACTGCTTTAGACAAAAAGTGCAATATCAAACTACTACAGGAAGTTCAGCGTACCTGCTGCTTGGTTATAAGTGGTGCCATGTGTACTACTTCAACCAAGGCTCTGGAAACGTTGCTAGATATTCCACCGATTGAAACATATTTAGGATATGAGTCGGCGCTTACAGCCGAACGGCTCTTTACTTTATGCATACCAGCCACAGAATATTTCGGAAACTTTAAAACGCTGATACCAGATAGAATGTCTTGGTCAAGCGAAACATTAGAGCAGTCCATTGTTACATGGATGGCTCTAAATTGGGGGACAAAGTGGGGCTGGGATTCTATATTGAAGACCCAGAAACAGAAATATACCACCGTTTACCAAATCATAACACAAACTTCCAGGCAGAAGTCCGAGCAATAACGGAATGCGTAAATTGGATTAGAATAAATATGGCGTCCACAGCGCTTAATATATTTACCAATAGCCAGAAGGTAATTAGGTCGATATCAGGTGATAGAACGAAATCTAAGACCGTATTGGATAGTAAGAAAGCTTTAACTGAATACTTTCCCAGAGGTAAGGTTCACATCATATGGGTACCAGCCCACTCGGGAGTAGTCGGTAACGAAAGGGCGAATGTAATAGCTTTAAAGGGAAAGGAGCTCGAGGCAGTTAACCTGACAAACGCAAAACCATTTGACGCAACAAAAGCTGAACTAAAAATATGGGTGAGAGAATCTCATAAGGCCTCTCTAAATAATGAAACGGTGGGTAGAACCACGAAGATCCTATGGGTGACCGTGATGAAAAAAACGAAAAATCTCCTCAAAATGAGCAAGTCTGAAGTTAGTATGTCTATACAAAATTGGACGTGCGGATTCAGACGATTGTAGAGCATGTGGTGAGGACAGTGAAACTCTGAAGCACTTTCTTTGCCACTACCAGGCATTCGTCGAAGTTAGATGCAAGATCCAAGTGAACATTTTTTTCATGATAAGGAGCGCACAACAGGCCCGGTGTATTCTTTGGATTTGATGTAGTATACATCCTCCTATCAACCTAACCCTAACCCAACCTTGGGACCTTTATGCAAAAAAAATAGAACTGATATAAGATGTGAAGAGTACCTTCTACTTCGGAATAAAAGTGGTTTGTACTGATATAATTTTCTGGAAAATCTTTGGTACTGTTGCCTTCTCAATAGTAGTCATATTGTAACATCGGTCAACGAAATATGTCTGCCTCTAGACGTTGTTGCCGAAACAATAGTACTCTTTCAGTCGTGTTGTTGCGAAACTTTAAGAGATGGGATTAATGCTATCTTCTCATGACAACATAAGGGTGAATCACTTCTGATGAAGTTGTGACTCGTCGGATGTTCTTAACTAGTATTTGATTCATCCTGTTGAGGTATACATCGAGATTAGGTTCGAGTTTATCTGTCATTCTGCAACGGGACTGTTATGGCCGGAGATTAAGTAGGTCAAGTACTGTAGCAAAGTGTTTGTGTATAGATCGGCAACCGACATGTACAAAAATTTGCAACCAACGTGTTTTTTGCAAGAAATCAAGATTTCATTCTGCAATGGGACTGCTATGGCGATTAAGTCGGTCAAGTACTGGAGCGTTTGTATATAGATCGACAATCGAAATGTACAAAAATTTGCAACCAGTGTGTTTTTTACAAGACATCAAGATTTGTCTCGGCACTACTATGACAAGACTTAGATAGCTCGAGTACTGGAGCAAATTGCTTGTCATGTCTGCGTTCTTTGCAAGTCACATAGGAGCGGTGGTGATACGATTCTAGCTTACTTAGTGATTGAAAAAGTATTACGGTAGAATAGGGCTAACCGCCAGCTACTCACGTAAAGCTCATTGACATCATGAAGAGCATGAAAAGCTATGATGAAGCTCTATCACATGCATAAGTAGGACAAATTAATGAATATCAGATCAGTGAGATCAGTGCAACAACGAAAACCAAAACATTCACTTGAACACTCACATAAAGCTCATTGACATCATGAAGAGCTTGAAAAACTATGTACAACGAAGTAATGAATACTACTCTTATTGAGATCAGTTGAGTCCAAACAATTGCCGATGAAAACTAAAATATTCACGTTAACACAACTAAAGCAGTGCCCAGACGAAGCCTCTTATAAACTGTTTGAGAAACTCTGACATTTATTACATGCCTCAACACTTGTTAATAATGTATATTGTAATAAGAACTTAAAAAATAATGTATATTAGAATAAGAACTTAAAAGTATTTAAATAAAACTATTTATTATCTTAAAGATATTTGGTAGCAAAAATTTCTACAAAACATTTCAGATTTAGATAAGAGAAACAAATCTCCCGGGACTACAAAACTTCAAAGATAATTTAACTTATAACAGAGTATTAAAAAACAACTTAAATCATTGGCCGGCCATTGCCGACAACAGGGTCCGAATGAAATCCATAATAATTATATGTTAACACTAGCATACTCTGGGTGCTTCGCTACCCTAACCAAAATTAAATACATACAAAATTTTGTTTACTTTTATAGAAAATTAAAATTGATTAAAAATTTGTTTAATGTTTCAGTTTTTTACGTTCAATATCACGTGAATAAATTCGCATTCAGTAAGAAGCTTGTATTTTTGTTCTCATTCGTTTAACTTCTACATTATAGAAAATTTCGAAAGTACTATTTGAAGAAAGTACTATAAAATACCTATTATAGATTCTCATTTAATCAAAAACCTAACCTATGTTCAATATGGTAAAAATATCAAAAAGTACCATCGGAGAAACAAAAAAGTACAAAAATCTGCCTCAATAAATTCTCATTTAATAAGGACCGTGTGTCATGTGTTCGGTTAACCATTATAGAGAATCCAAAAGGTACCATTTGAAGAATGGAAAAGTACCAAAGAGTTCCCACTTACAGAATATTACTCAGTCAAGACCATGTATGTTAAAATTTATGTTCCTAGGTTGAATATTTTAGAAAATTCAAAAAGTACCATTTTTGAGATAAAAAGTACTAAAAAGTTCTCTCTTTAAGAATCTTATTCAATGAGGGCCGTGTATGTTTAACAATCATGAGTTTTGAATTCATATTATAGAACATACAAAGAGTATCATTTGAAGAAAGAAAAAGTGCGAAAAGTGGAATAAATTCTACCTTAGTGGAAAGTACTAATAAAAATAGTACAATTTTTCCCCTTTCCGTATTTAAATCTCTATATCACAGATAAAACTCAAACGATTGAAATCTGCATTCATTTGTAAATAAACTACTTTTTCAAATTTTATAAAAATTGACTCAATGAGTTTGAATAAAATTAAATTTCCCGTTTTTTCCCTTTTTGGTACTTTTTCCCCAGTGAAATAGCTAAAATTTTGTTTCTACAAATATTACAGAGTTAGTCCGTAATTTAAAATTAATACTTCAATAAATCGAAAAAATTTCTTAATGTGCTAAAAAAGTACCAAAAAGCACTGAATTTTAAAAAAGTACGAAACAGGTGTCCCCTAATTTTGGGAGATATATTCAAAATATTTACAAAAAATTTATTTAGGTTCAGCCGTTTGGGCTGTGCGATGATGAATCAGTCAGTCAGTAACGCTTCCCTTTCTATATATAGATTTAAAACTAAATTTAAAAACATGAGTATTTTAGTTTACAAAAAAATCAGTGTTTTGTTTCTTCCAATATACTTATACTCCTTATGCCAACCACTGTGGTAGTGTTTAAATATATATGTATAAAGAAAAATGTTTCACTCACCTCATTATTTTACGTTTATTATTTGGATGTATACGATTTGCAGTTTCTGGATCAATATTCCTTAAATGGTTGTGCAACAATTCCGATGACATTGTTAACATTTTTTCACCAGCTATAAATGACGACTAAAATAATAAAGGAAATATTTGTAAAACTTAAAAAAACCAAACATGATAAGAGAGTGGAAATTTTTTTGGTTCTTTAATAAAATAAAACTTAAATAAAAATACATACATTTTCCACATTCCCAGACACTGTGGCAACAATGTCATCAGCATCATTGTCATTAATATTGTCACTAGTGGTTTTTGCTTTATCAGCTAGAGAAGTTGGTGTTGTTGTTGTTGTTGTTGTTAATGCTGGCAACTTACTTAAGTCTTCATTACTGCTGGTATCTGTGGGACTTACTAGGATATCCCATAATAAAGATTCTATATAATAGTTAGTGCCACCCACTACTATAGGGCTTTTGGCTTGGGCTAACAGGTTTTCTAGCTAAATTTTTTTTTTGTAAGTTAAGGTTTCTAGGGCCATTGTTAATTATTAAAAAAAATTGTTTTAATATTAAATATTTAATTAAACATTTTTAGCACGTTTTTAAAGGTTGTATTGGAACACAGGAAGTTTTAACGATTTTTTTTTTCATTTTTGGGTTTTGGCCATTTAAATGGCCACTAGTTCGGGTAATTTATGAGACGCTTGTATTCGGATTAAAAATGCAGAACACGTATTTAGGCATATATTCAATTTTTTTGTTAAATATGTTGTTCATGTAAAACATATTTAATATTTGTTAACAAAAAAAAAAAACTAAATATTAATATTAATTAAGCAAATTTTGAATAAATTGTAAATCAATTCTTTAATTTTTTGGAATAGAAAATGAGCTTAAACGGATCATTAATAAGAAAATAAATTATTACTAGAAATATAGAACAAGCTGTTAGGAATAGGGAATTTTTTAATTCTAAATCAAAAAGTTTCAAGTTGAATAATAAATTTTAAATGGGCAAACTTTGCTTAACCCCTGACAATATAAACTTGATGTTAAATAGGTAATACCCAGTCGAATATAGTGAGATTGAAAAAGCTTTTTCGCACAACAATTCAGTCTAAAGAGAGTTTGTTTGCAGAACTAAAATCTCGCGATTGATTAATTGTCTTCTCTCGAGAACTGTTGCCATTTCAAAGCAAATCAACTCAAATTAGGCAAAGTTTCCTTATTACTATTTTATTATAAAAATATTCCCCAAAAGTATACATATATCCCAGCAAGCATTTGGAAGATTGTTGTATGATTAGTAGACTGAGTCTTTTTTGACTCCATTTGATGACCTAAAAGTGAATAATTGAGTTGAGTGTTTAAAAAATGATACGAAATTGATCCTGATATATGATTAAAAACTGATTATTTGAAAAAATTGGAACAAAATGTGCAGCAATCGTAAATTGATCATCCTGGTGTTTAAAATATGATGGTTTTTAAATTTATTTTATGATCATATTTTAAGCATTTGAAAGATCCAAAACTGTTTTCTGTATTGTTGTATTTTTTTCTAACAGACATAAAAGTGACTCAGAAGGTTAGGTTAGGTTGATAGGAGGATGTATAACTACATCAAATCCGAAGAAATACACCTAGACCACAAATTGTTCACTGAATGTATTATTTTTCAATGTTCAGAAAATCAGTTTCCTGGACGTAATTCCTGCGAATTTTCCAATCAGTATTAGTCAGGAATGTTATTTCCGGAATAACATCACTTACAAGATACTTGGATCTAACTTCGACAAATGCCTGACAGTGGCAAAGAAAATGCTTCAGGGTTTTTACTGTCCTTTCCACATGCTCTACATTTGTCTGATTCCAATTTTGTACAGATTTGCTCGCAATCCTGTGTGTCCACTCAGAATACATACCATCATTCCAACCTCAGACTTGCCCATTTTGATGAGATTTCTCGTCTTGTTCTCATCAGGGTCACCTCATAGGATCTTTATGGTTCTTCATTATTCCAAGAGCCCTTATGGGACTCTCTCACCCATATTTTTAATTCAGCTTTTGTTGTAACGAATGGTTTTGCGATTGTCAGGTTAACTACCTCGAGCTCCCTTCCCTTTAAAGCTATTACATTCGCCCTTTCGTTGCCGTCTACTCCCTAGAACCCATATGATATAAACTTTATCTCTAGGAGAGTATTTGCTTAAAGCTTTCCTACAATCCAGTACGGACTTAGATTTAATTCTATCACCTGATATCGCCCTAATTGTCTTCTGGCTGTCGGTAAATATATTAAGGGCTGTGGCCGCCATATTTATTCTAAGTCAATTCCATTTTTGCTTGGACTTCTGCCTGGAAGCTTGTGTTATGATTAGGTAAACGGTGGTATATTTCTGTTTCTGGTCCTTCAATATATAACACCAAACCCACTTTATCCCCCAATTTAGAGCCATCCATGTAATTGGTATTTGCTCTAGTGTTCCGCTTGGCCAAGACATTCTATCTGGGATCAGAAAATGACTCAGAAAGAACTCAAAATTTACAAAAATATGATTCGAAAATTACTCTAAAACGACCAGGACCACAACTCATAAATGACTCTAATATAATTCAAAAATTAATCAGAACCGATCAAAAGAAGGGCTTTTAAATGAGTCGCAGATAGGATACGATTTATTATGATCAGAAAATGTGCGCACATTATAATCGTGCGAAAGAGTCATAAATGACTCAAATGTGATAAAAATTTCCAAAAAAATGCTAGCTGGGATAAAACCCACAAAATTCTTACTTCTTAAAAAAACAGCCTAAATGTTCATTCTCAAAAATGGGTTAATTTTATATTCTGCCAATGAAATCGAAATTTTTTGTCACAGACCAATATGTAAAAAAAGAAGCAGACACACATACAAACACTTTATAAATAATTTATCAATACACCATCATGAAATCAATCATCAAATTAAATATTTCAACCAGGTTCAAATTTTCAGTTCGTTTGTCTAATTTAAAACAAGACAAGAAACACCAAAAGAAGAAAAAAACGCCTTCAAATCAGAAACTCAGCTCTGCTCAATTTAAAATCAGTCAAAATTTTTGTAGAAGACTTAGGAAAAAATGCGTACACGCATTTATTTTAGCATAATTTTCCATATTTAATGGTTAATCGTTTGAACGAAAGAATAAGAAAAAAAGTCTAACATATAATTTGTATATAAATTTCTTAATTAAAGTATTTTTTTTTTTTTTTTGGTTTGTATATTTCGTTTGAGTATTCAATTAATTTTCTTATAATTTATTTACAAAATCTATTTGGACAATTAAGTATACAAGACGACAAGTTTGTATTAAAAATGTGAATAGAGGCCTATATAGTCATATATAGTTTATTTAGTGGAAGCAAACATTTACTTTTAAAACTACAGCTAAGGGTGACAAAGTTAATGGTCACTTGATATGATAAATAAAATTATTTATATTCATTAAAATAACCGTATTCGAATGGGATAATATTAACCGATGTACAATGGCATCAGCTCCAAAGTTTGTTAATTTATAATAACTTACTAGCTATATAAAATTGGCTTTATAATAGTGTAATTAGACCAATTCTAGCTTATGCTTTAATAATCTGGTGGACTGCTTTAGACAAAAAGTGCAATATCAAACTACTACAGGGAGTTCACCCTACATGCTGCTTGGGTATAAGTGGTGCCATGTGTACTACTTCAACCAAGGCTCTTGACACGTTGCTAGATATTCCACCCATTGAAACATATTTAAGATATGAGGCGGCGCTTACAGCCGAACGGCTCTTTACTTTAGGCGAACAGGCCAAAAGCGGTTATAGGACACGTCATCAATGTATACTGGACACATTGGAAGGTTATACACAATCATCGGACATGCCTGATCGTATACCAGGCACAGAATATGTCGGAAACTTTGAAACGCTGATCCCAGATAGAATGTCTTGGTCAAGCGGAACATTAGAGCAAATACCAGTAGGAATCCGTTGTTACACGGATGGCTCTAAATTGGGGGACAAAGTGGCGCTGGGGTTCTATATTGAAGACCCAGAAACAGAAATATACCACCGTTTACCAAATCATAACACAAGCTTCCAGGCAGAAGTACGAGCAATAACGGAATGCGTAAATTGGATTAAAATAAATATGGCGCCCACAGCGCTTAATATATTTACCGATAGCTAGAAGGCAATTAGGGTGATATCATGCAATAGAACTAAATCTAAGACTGTATTGGATTGTAAGAAAGCTTTAACTGAATACTCTCCCAGAGGTAAGGTTTACATCATATGGATACCAGCCCACTCGGGAGTAGTCGGTAACGAAAGGGCGAATGTAATAGCTTTAAAGGGTAGGAGCTCGAGGCAGTTAACCTGACGAACGCCAAACTATTCGACGCAACAAAAGCTGAATTAAAAATATGGGTGAGAGAATCCCATAAGGCCTCTTGGAATAATGAAACGCTGGGTAGAACCACAAAGATCCTATGTGGTGACCCTGATGAGAACAAGACGAGAAATCTCCTTAAAATGAGCAAGTCTGAAGTTAGTATGATGGTACGTATTCTGAGTGGACACACAGGATTACGAGCACATTTATACAAAATTGGCCGTGCGGATTCAGACGAATGTAGAGCATGTGGAAAGGACTCCTGACTAACACTGATTGGAAAATTCTTAGGAATTACGTCCAGGAAACTGAGTTACTGAGGAGCGCACAACAGGCCCGATAGTGGCCTAGGTGTATTTCTTCGGATTTGATGTACTATACATCCTCCTATCAACCTATCCTAAGTTTATGTAGCAGTAGATTCGATTAAAGCTAAGAGTGACTCGGCTACTAGCGCCGATTCATATCATACATGCGTTTCGATTGGGGAAGTGTTGTTAAATAATTCTAAAACATTGCTCATTTCCTCACTAATATCCAAACCAACCATGTTGAATAAAATGAATTATCTTCACCTTTCTGTTATTGAAATTCAGAACAATAGAGGTGCTACCAATGATACTAGTTTTGTCGGAACTAGAAACTTTTGGAGCCATTTCCTCATCATTTGACTTAAGGTCTAATCAGAATACCACATAATTTGGTATTACAGGGTTTGGCAGGTGCATCGAACCAGAAGAGTTCAGTACAACTCATTTTGAAATAGGTTTTTGCCTTTTTAGACGTCGGGAGATTGACAGTTCGTGGATGATCTTTACTGAAATAGATTAAATTGATATAACAAAATTTCTGCAATCTTTATAAAACTGGTCTCAAAAATTCCGTAATTTTGAGCTGATTGCCGGAAAACTAATTGTAAAATTTTCAATTGCTGAACTGAGACCCCTTTTAAAAAAAATTATTTTTTATTTCTCTCGTGATCAGTACATTAATACGCATCGACTAAGAGGTACATGAGATTCTTAAATAGGCAGTTCCTTGGCAATCTATTATACATGGAATGACGTCAGGCATTTCATTGAAGTCATTCGGAAGCGAGTGGTGGAGCGTCACTAGTCCAAAAAGAAGGATGGTTAAACCCAATATCATATTATAGCCAAGTTTAACAAAGCAGTTCATTAGATTATTGAAGCGATATTAATGCTATTCTGGATGTTAAGAGTGCTGGTGATCCACCATACCAGATGGAGCACCAATTTTTGCAGAGTTATTAACCCCCGAAAACCAGACTTTTGCTTTGTGCATTCAGACGATAGTATCTAACCGAATTTGGCCTCATGCAGGTTTAATTCCTTTCTAGTTGGTCATCGTAGAATTGCAATATGTTTTACAGAATCGGCTTTTACAGAAATCGGCGTAGTGCTAACTACCATTAATTCTTACTTTTCAAATTCTGGACAAACTGGTAACTTGTATATCCTACACCATTTTGGTGGGATGTTTGGGCTGATGTTTGTAACGCACATTAATGTTTTCTGAGTCGATTTAGCTATGTCCATCCGTCTGTATGTCCGTCCATGTACCTTGGACCTTGTATCCAAACTACAGGTCGCAATTTTGAAGATAATTTAATGAAATTTGCTACATGATCGTGTATTGTTCCAGGAACTAAGCTTATTTTAAAATGATTAAGATCGGTCCATTATTTCATATAGTCCCCCAAACAACTAAACCTCCCTAACAGAGCTTTTGTGCTCATATATTTAATATACTCACATCTCGACAAAAAGCGGCACAACTATGTTTTACACATGCCTTGATGACCCTGCCGAATTTTGTAATGATCGGTCCTCACTCTCTCATACAAAGACCCCTTGAGAAAATCAGTTAAATTTCGCTTTAAAAGTATTGAGGATAAATACATTTTTGTTAAACGTAGATTCATCCAGCAAATTTTATGAGGATCGGTACAAATTTCCTCCCAGTCCCGATATAAAGCCCTCTTTCAAAATTTTGAAATTTTAATTTAATACCAACCTGCTATTTAGTTAAACATAGTTGCCTATAATTAAGTCACTACTACTAAGTCTGTCTTTATGTCTGTCTGTCCAACGAAATACATACATACATGTGTATATGCCAATATCTTTTAAATCGTTGTATAAACTTTATTATGTCTTGTTTAATTTATATTGAATTTGATTTATATTTGACATCAAAATATGTGAGTGTATCTAAAACATATTCATACCAATGTGTGTGTGTGTATTAATATGTGTACCTTTTCTTTTTTTATATAGTTTTGACAGTTATTATGACATTTACAAGTTGTCACTAATAGAAGTTGCTGTTGTTATTATAGCTATTAAGCATTTTTTTTTCAAACTCTCATTCGTTTTCTTGGTATCAATTTATAGTTTATTTCAAGTTAGGCAGCGTTAGGTGAGTGATATGGCTAGTTAGGTTTTAATTTTTTGTAGTTTTTACTAATAATTTTGCTGCTTCTTGGGTTTCAGGCTGTGGTTGTAAGATGTCGTAACGAAAATGTTGGTTAAACATAAACGCTAAGTAAGAAAAATACCTGTCGTTATTAAATTAAACATTACACGTGACAATATGTTATTAATACATAGTTGTGGTATAAAATACCAAAAATACTTACAAGAAAAGGAGGGACACAAATGACAGTTTTTAAATAATTAAAATAGTTATTAGGAAGAAAACCCATAAAACATGTTCAGACTATAATATCTATAAGTATATGTACATATATTAGAAGATTTTTAAAAGTTGTTTCAAATTTATACAAACTATTTACTCTTTTATTAGCTTAGGTTATATAGGACTTGTGAATCATGTAATTCCCGAGAGAACTAAACATTGTTTCTAAAAATTTTGTTAAATAGAATCTTTGTGATGTTACTTCCTTATCCGTTTCAAATTTTTAACTAAAATTTAAACCCTGACTATAATAACAATTCTGTTTTCAAAATGCAAATCTGTTTTAAACAAAACAAATTGATAAATATCAATTTTTATACAAAATTAACTCTTTAATATAAAAATGCAGCACACTTTCTTACAAAATTGTTTTATCAAAATTCTACGAATTATACAGTTTGGAACAACATGTCTAGCCACCATTTATACCCCTGTGGATCAGTGCGTTTATGGTTTCTTTGCCTTTGCTATTGGTTGTACCGATGCTATACTACATCTCATGATTTCACCACACCTTGAAAACAAATCTGTGAATCCCGATGAAAAGCCAGCAACTATCAAAACAAATATTCTACTCTCGGTTATAGAATCTATTCATGATTATCTACCCTTGGGTTTCATCAATATGGAACTACATCGTTTATCGTCTCAATATCCACTTTTAAGTTATGTTTTTTGTCTACCCTTTGGCTTGGATATTCTATCGCGTCTCTTCGATGACGGCACTACCTATGTTGCGGACGAGAAGGTGTTAATGTATTTGAAAAAATTTAATATAATCATTCATTCCATATCGATTGGTTCTCTGGCCAAGCGTGAATTGAATATTTGGTTTATGTGCGTTTGGCTGGCCACAATGATTGTCAGTGGTGGGATATTTTTGGAAGCCTCTTATTTTTATGTGGGAAAATGTATGAAATTAATTGGTTACATTTTTGTATATATTTTTGCATTAATTGGTATTTACGATGATGATTTTTTGAGTCGCTGGGAATGGTTTAATATACATGCAATGGATTATCAATAAAAATATTTGTTAAATTTCGTTTTGAATTTGTTTTTTTTTTTTTTTTTAATTTGTTGTGAAGTTAATTTAATAAGGAACTAGATGAGTACAAGAACTGAACTAGCATGGAATTAGAACCAAAACTGAACTAGTATAGAACTAGAACTGAAATAGAATTGAACTAGAACTGAACTAGAACTGAACTAGAACTGAACTAGAACTGAACTAGAACTGAACTAGAACTGAACTAGAACTGAACTAGAACTGAACTAGAACTGAACTAGAACTGAACTAGAACTGAACTAGAACTGAACTAGAACTGAACTAGAACTGAACTAGAACTGAACTAGAACTAGAACTGAACTAGAACTGAACTAGAACAGAACTAGAACAGAACTAGAACAGAACAGAACTAGAACTGAACTAGAACTGAACTAGAACTGAACTAGAACTGAACTAGAACTGAACTAGAACTGAACTAGAACTGAACTAGAACTGAACTAGAACTGAACTAGAACTGAACTAGAACTGAACTAGAACTGAACTAGAACTGAACTAGAACTCATCTAGAACTCAACTAGAACTCAACTAAAACTCAACTAGAACTGAAGTAGAACTGAACTAGAACTAAACTAGAACTGAACTAGAACTGAACTAGAACTGAACTAGAACTGAACTAGAACTAAACTAGAACTGAACTAGAACTGAACTAGAACTGAACTAGAACTGAACTAGAACTGAACTAGAACTAACTAGAACTGAACTAGAACTGAACTAGAACTGAACTAGAACTGAACTAGAACTGAACTAGAACTGAACTAGAACTGAACTAGAACTGAACTAGAACTGAACTAGAACTGAACTAGAACTGAACTAGAACTGAACTAGAACTGAACTAGAACTGAACTAGAACTGAACTAGAACTGAACTAGAACTGAACTAGAACTGAACTAGAACTAAACTAGAACTGAACTAGAACTGAACTAGAACTGAACTAGAACTAGAACTGAACTAGAACTGAACTAGAACTGAACTAGAACTGAACTAGAACTGAACTAGAACTGAACTAGAACTGAACTAAAACTGAACTAGAACTAGAACTGAACTTGCACAGAACTAGAACTGAAAATTTTCTGAAATAGAACTGAACTTGATCTGAACTAGAACTCAACTATAATTGAAATGGAACTGAAGTCCAGATCATCTTCTATGGCAAGCCTATGTTAAAATGATTGTCTATAAAAATCTTTTTCAGTACTACCATGAAGTAAATTTTACTTCTTCTTCTCTTATTGTAAGACCTATTTTCACACCAAACTTGCTCGAACAAAATAACTTGAAAAATGATAAGATTATTTCAAACTACTGATACTCCATTTTGACATAAACTATTTATCAAAATAAAAATTTGACAAATTGTTTTAATAAAAATATTAAATTTTCAAAAGACAATAAAAAACCCAAAATTATCTGTAACCATTAAACCAATTTTCAATCTAACTTTATATAAACCACGATCTAAATCTACTCTAACTAAATAATGGAAGTGATATGGCTTTTAAAGAGATTACCCTTTTATGCTTTGGCTTTAATGGCTAGTTATGCTGCGTACAACATGCCACCGGAAACAAATCCTTACGCCTTTGCAGCCTGTGCCGTTGGCATTATCTATGGTGTATTTGGTTTAGTGGGAGGTCAAGAAGTAGCGGATGGTATTGTGAAGGGAGTGGTAGATGATCTTTTGGATTTTGTGCCTCTGGCAATGGTAAACATTGAAATTTTTCAAATGATGGGCAAGCCATATGCTTTTGTTCATGCCTTATTCATTATACCACTGATACTGGATCTAATTGCCAAATTATTTGGCGAAGAAAGTGATGATGCGGCCACGCAAACCCTTAAACATGTTAGCAATTTAGCGAATGTTGTTTCGTTACTTTATCTTTCGTATATGGAGGATAACTATATGTTTGGTTATGTCGCTCTTTCATATTTGGCAGCCCATACGGGCATGGTCATAGGAGGAAGATGTCATGGATATTTGGTGGATCTTAACTATATAATGAGTTATGTTTTATTTTATTTTACCGCAACATTAGCGGTGACAGTGCCAAATACCCCCAAAGCTTAACAACTTTACAGGGGTTTGTTGAAATCAAAAACGAAGCCATGAGTTAATTATCCGAAATTGTTTTGAAATTAGAAGAAAAAGTCAAAATAAAAATTGTAAATTTTAAAAATTCTAAAAACAAATTTAATAAAAAATTTAATTTTCGGCAATTTTTTTCTAAATTCCTGGTTTGATTTCCTTTAATTGCTTGCAAAAATGATAGATACTATTTTGGATACCGTTTTCAATGGTCTGCTAATAGGCACCTCCGGTTACGCCATGTTCGCGGTAAATCCTGTGGATCATCCATTTGCCTTTGCCGCCTGTGCTGTTGGATTTTGTCATGGTTGTACGGGTATTTATACCCGTTTCTTCGATAGTTCTTGTGGCGCTGAAGGCTCTGAAGGAAAATGTAGAAATCGTGTTAAGAAACTAACTAGCAGTTGTATGGAAATTATAACGGTACCCTTGGCTAATATGGATCTCTATAGAAGTTCTCAGCAGACTAATGCTTTAGCCTTGGGTCATGGTTTATTTATTATACCATTGGCCTTTGATTTGACGTTGAAATACCTTGCTACGGAAGGAGATGAGGGTGAATCTACTGCCATTTTAAAAGATCTAACTGTATTGGGGAATATTGTTTCCCTATTATTTTTCGCGGTAAACGAAAATAATCTTCCCGCCGGCTTAATGGCTCTATCGGCATTTTTTTCCTACTCGGGTTCAATGGTAATGGAATATATGTTGAATGGAACTGAGGAGAATTCTAGTTTAGCAGGTTATGCTTTATTCTTTGCTTTCATGCCTTCAGCTTTAAGCGCTGGTGCTGAAGTAGCGACATGAAATAATGTACATGTTTTGGAATATTCTGTTTAAATTACTAAAATTGCAATAAAATAATATATTCTTACAAAATTTACCATTTATTTATTAAATAAAATATTGAGTTATTCGGTTCAAATCGCTCGAATTCATCACAATCCGGTTTAATTATATATTATTCAACACTATTATTCATCACTATCTATACCGATAATGAATAATTAAGGCAGCAAGTTAGAACCTATCATGTATTTCCTAGAGAACGGTATAAGAAAAGTTCTACTAGGATTTACATTCAATCTACTATTACCGATACTCCATCAACTTAATCTAAATTATCTGTACTTAGTAGTGAACATTTTCTACTTCAAGTCATCCAGAATCTGAAGCAAACAATTAGTGTCGCAATCTGAGCAAAATAAAAGACGAAAATTATATATTTTAGGGAATTCAATATCTTGAGCAGACAGTTAATGTGAATATTTCACAGAAATTGAGGGAGGCCACGACTTATCATTAATGGCCTAGTATTGTTTTAGAGACCTTTAGATCAACAGCATCAGCACAAAACGCCTTTCCTAATAAGAGATTACTTATAGGCCTTATTTCACGGTGGTCTTTTCATCCACGGGGTGAGATTATTTTATGACTTACCACCGCCTCCTAGTGTTTCTTAGACGCCGGTACATGGTTTGCCGGTCCATAAACAAGCACTATGCCCAAATACTCAATATCTCCGGCTGTTTAACTTGCGAAAAGCAAAAACAGATGGGATGGTCTCCGTTGAGTCAGCAAAACACTTGGAGATGTAAACCTTAGACCATAAAACGAATGCATAAAAGTCAGCCCAGGACTTGTTCTTACTCAAAGAGAACACCCATTGTAAATCTTATATGATCATACCCGAACAAGGAAGGGAAATTCAATGGTATCACTTATATAAGATACCTTACATCCATTACCACTCAACCCAGCAAGCTTCTCATCCATCCAACGCATTCATTGAGAAAAACATACGACATACTTACTCTAGGTATACGGGTGGGTAAGGTCCATATAGACCTTCATCCATCCCATATTATATAAATTTGACACCAACTTATGCTTAGTCTCACAGTCATTCCTTTGAGGGGTATATGTTGTCTCAACAACAGCTTATCCCAAATTATGGACTTTAGCGTGTATCAGTCTTTTAACAAACATGCTCTTTCTCTCTAGAGCGACAATTTTCACCCCGAAGGGACCTCTCCAATAACCGGGACAAGGCAAAGTCCAAAACTCTGCCCTGGGGGCTATCGGTTCCCGTGGTACCAGATTATGTGGTTCTCAGTTTCGACCCATTTGAAATCAGTCCAAGGTCCACTTGATTATCACCGGTTTATATACCCGGCAGACTAGAGGTATTGCAAAAACACAAAGATGTGGGAAGATCATCAAGGTAACATGCCTCCGGAGGCACTGCGGAGCAGTAGAGAAGATAAGTTATCTTCTTTTTATATTCATTATGACAAATACTTCAAAAATCATTAGATATATGGAAGCTTAATACGTCTGGATTGTGCTCCAAACCAACACTGAACAAGTATAACTGAAACCCAAATCGAGTATAATTAAGACCATTACGTAAAAGTGATCTAATTTTGTGCAAATAACTCAATTTAAAAGTTCTGAAATAACTTTATAATATCAACTCAGTTCTACCACAAATTGATATTTTAAAAGCTAAGTTCAAGGACCTTATAGTTCAACAATCTCCATAAATCTAACAGGAAAAAACAACAAAGATGATTTTTAAAATAAATGATATTTTCATTGAGACAGCTTCATACATCAGAAAAGATCATTCCTTTTTGTGTGCCTTCAAACAGAGGATTAACAGCAAATCCATTTGTGAAAACATTATCATTAGCCGAAATGAACCACGAATCATGTTATGATATTAAATTTTATGAGCTTTAAATGATCATTATAGCCGAAAAAAGCCCCAAAAAAATGCATACAACAAAATGGAATGACATCAACAAAAAAGAAATGAATGGCATGACATCAAAACAAATCAACAATTAGTTGTGATTAGGGTTACGCCAACAGCAACTGCAGCCCTGCAACCGAAAATTTACAAAAAAACAAATCCCGAAAACTTATGGAGGATATTAAGAGAACAACATATTTTTGTGCATTAAGATGATCTTAATGATTTTTTCGAAAATATTTTAAACTTTCTGTTTAATTTATATTAATTGTAAGATACAGTTTTTTTTCGGTAATATTTGTTGCATTGAGCCTCATCAGTTCAACATGTTAAATATGATAATACAATGTTATTTTTATGGTGATTTGTTGAGCTTTTATCCATTTTTGTATTATTGTTTCCATGATGATGATGTTTCTCTTAATTTCAGTCCTCCATAACCATTGACGCACAACTAGCGGGGAGTTTGAAGAGGACTGATTTGTTTATTTAGTTGTTGTCGTCGTCGTCTGACTGGCATAACCGAGTATGGAAACATATGAGAACAAAATAAAAACAAACATCCACACAAAAAAAGGGTATCAAAAAATGCTCATTTTGGAGTGAGCGGCAGCGGTGTGGTGTTGATTTTTATGTTATTGACCGTTTTGTTTGAAAAGCCAACGAATTCTTTGAATGAAACCAAGGTTAAGCGGGAGTTTAAAAAGATAAATATTTTTTATTTTTGTTTTGTTATTTTGAGAAACTCATGAGTCATGCTCTCTGTTTTTTTTCGCTTTAAAATCACGTATTATTTTGCACTGTTTGTTGAGCCACTTCGACAGGAATTGCAAACGCGTACAGAAGGGAAGTGATCGATGGCAGTAGTATTTTCGAAATATCATGAATTTTAATTGCATATTATAGTTTTCATGGAATTTTGAGATCCAGTATAGAAAGAAGACGATTCTTGAATGAACAAAGATCATTAAAAATACTTGAAGAATAGCTTAATGGCAGGTTTAAAATCCATTTTGTAAATGAGTAGATATTAACGGCTTAACATTTCAATGGCGAAATTTTGCTTTCCCACGGGGCATGTTACCTTCATGATCTTCCCTCATCTTGGTGATATTGCAATCCCTGTGAAAGAAGTGCTACCAATACCTCTACTCTGCCGGGAATATAAACTGGTGATGAGCTTCCGTCTTTCGTTGGAATGATCTGGTACTCGGGGCAGAGTATCGGACTTTGTATTGTCACGGTTATTGGAGCGGTATCTTCGGTGTTCATGTGGTAGCTGTGGTTTACACCCAAATTCACGGTAAGAATGTTGGTTCAAAGATTGATACAGGGTAAAGTCCACAATTCTGGATAAATTCGGTGCTGTTGCTGAGACAACGGATACCTGTTGGACTAAGCGTTGTAAATGAGTTGGTTCTCAATGAGAGTGTTGGATGAAATGAAGATGAAGACCTTCAAGGCAGGTTTTTACGTAAAGCAATTTCCACATCTTAGGCATTCAGAAAAATGTCGTGAACCTTTTAAAATTACTTAAAACTAAGTCCAAAAGGCCAACGAGAAACGATTTCGCCCATACCAATGGAATTATTATATATATTAGAGAGTGATGAATCCAACTCACCACCTCACTTATGAAATTTCGTCATTGATTCTGAAATATGCAAATGCGGATGACGTATCTGTGATTGTTTGGACTAAAAATCTTGTTATCACTTTCTAAGTCTTCAGACTTCTTAATCTATCCTTCAATTTTTGGTTGGTAGGACTACTTTTCAAATGTCTGTTAAAGAGATGCGAGATCATTTCAACTGGAGCTCTTTACTGCAAATGTATTGCGAAATAAATTGAAAAATTATTCGGAATTCTATTGTTAGTCGATTAAATCGGGGAGTTAACCTTATATCAAAGTTCATTTGACAACTTAACGATGAACAGAGGCCGATTGCCTTAAACCTCCTTTTAATAACCTTTTTAGAAGTCGTTGTGTCACAGGTTGATTCGTTTCAAAGGAGGATTCGTTTCTAATCATACATCTTTCCTCTATCCGATTCTCTTCAGATCTAATAGCTAAGCTTTACACAATGCTATAAAATCTCATTGAATTTCATTCAACACAAAGATGTAGAACTGTGTTATGAACCAGATCAATGTAATATTAGGGTTAGCGAGAATGTGAATAGATGGAAAGAGTTTAGAGTTGGATTGCAGTATTGGTAATGCTGTTATAGCACCTTTGATTCCATATTACCGACTGTGGATGGTTACGGTAGGATCACGAGAGAAGATAAGGATGTAATCTCAATTGCATTTCATATTGAATAACACTCAAAGGAAGTTCTAATTTTGGAACAACATTGAAATCGAAATGGTTCTTTGGAGACCTATGTATATGTTTCCAACATATCCAAGTATTTTCATCAATAGATCGCTACGTCAATCGCATTTGTAAATGATCACCTTATCTCATATAAGGTATATATATTTATAATTTAGATTCACTGCCCTCATTATGGTCAAAAAATTGGATTTCTATCCCAGTGTGGGGATTAATATGCTTTCAATATTTCGATTATTTCACAATTATCTACTTCCATCGACAAAGCATTAACCCCATAACCATTTCTAATGGAGACTAACAAGAAGTAAATGTACTTTTCATTGGATTTTGACCCTGAACTTGTGCAGACTTTCAGTGATTGTGTATATGATCAACTCATTTAAAATACTTAAACAAAATTTAAAACAACTGTAGACAGTTTCAATCAAACGTAATCGGCCTGTTTAAAACGAAATAATGCAAAACATTTTTGTTTTACTTTTTCCTTCTCCTACTCTTTGCTTCTATTTATTTAATTTTTGGTGTGGGCAACACTTTGGTCAATAATCTCTATGATGTGTTAGACAGATACCAGACCCTCTTTATTAATAATTAATCTTGTATTATTAACTAAGGAAGACAATTATTGTTCCATAACGTACCGGGTAAAATGCAGCTTAAGTTTGTTTTTTTTTTTTTATTTCACAAATACCGGCGTACGAGTACAATTCATATAAATAAATAAATACTACTCATACTGGG